GGGGTTTAGGGTTTAGGGGGCTGTTGCGAAACGCCGGCCTTACGCAGTGAGACCTTGGGCTATAAAACTTGTTACCATAAAAACTTCGAGAAGGGTTACTGCAAGGCTAAGAGGCTTTAGGCCTCAAAGTGGTCTCAACGGCTTCCAGCGTCCCGATACCCCCAACATACTCGGGACCGCGGGGAAGCTGTCCCTAAGAGAAGACGAGTTTCGGACTTCGACGGTCATGGGGCTTATAGGGTTTAGGGACGAGTTTGAGGTTTATGCTGTAGGGAATACGGTTTAGGGTTTAGGGATTACGGTTTAGGGTTGGTTAGATTGTACACCCTGCCACTAGAGTTTCGTGATTGGGGAGTCCTTTCTGCTTTTCGTTGCTCGGGGTCTCTTAGGGTTTGGGTTTAGGGTTTAGGGTTAGGGTTTAGGGCTTAGGGTTAAGGGTTTAGGGCTTAGGGTTTAGGGTTTAGGGTTTTAGTGTCTTCCTGCTGCGTCATACGGTTCCCTTGTTTCTTCCCGACGTCTCATGATAACTAAGATTGTGTTAATCAAGGGTGTTTTTGCTTCTCTCAGCTTGCAGGTTCGGTCGGCACCGTACTCTGCGGCCTCCGCCACACTCGTGAAGCGATGCAACGGCCGCGTGATGTAGAGGAGGAACCAGTTGCCTCCTCGGCACGTGCTTTACCGACGAAGTATGGGGGGAAGGGATCACTGTTAAAAGCCCCTACTTGGAGCTTCATGGGCAGTTATAAGTGGGATTAATAAGTCCCCTAAGTAGGGTTGTAAGTATAGTTACCCTACTTATAACTACCCATGAACCTCCAAGTAGCAGGCCCCTAGAGCACTCTGCAGACCCTTGTGTGACGAATAGCTTTGGTGTCCAAGGTTTGTAGCAACAAGGAATATGACGCCAAGCAGCGAGTCTGCAGGGAGAGCTCCAGTTCGCAGAGGCAAGATTTACGTGGGGTAAGCTGCATCTTTGGCAACATCCCCCCGATGCAAACGTAGCCGGATTTCTGACCTGGGTCTGTCGTAGGGTCGTAGAGGCTCGAGTGCTGTACTACAGAAATTCGAGGCGATGGGATCCTGTTGCAGACAAGGAGGTGCAGTTTTTGTAAATATAATTAAAAGCACTGTCCCTTGGGCTCCTGGTTTGCAACTAGAGTAGAATATAGCCCCAAAACCCTATTCTCGCAGTTCCAGCCGAGCAACGGCTGAGCCAAGCTAACGAGCGGGCTGGGTCTATGAAAATGTCGAGGCTGGAATGCTGGATCGGCTCGTCGCGATCCACCCAAGGAACGGCCTGCAAGAAGCTGAGGAAGACAGGTGTCAAATTCAGAAGAGCTTCCTACACTTGAAACATGCCCAGAGGCAGAAGCTTGCGAGACACTCCGTGAGTGTGTGGCGTGAATAATTAATGGCACTATCCCCTCATACGGTTATACCAAGGCCTATGCTAACCCCGTTACCTATTCCAATTATTAAGGCCCCTCTTTTGCTTACGTGCAGATTCTGGCCTCTGCGTCCACAATGAAGTCATCATCCAAGCAGCTTGCGCTCGAGTGGATGCTGACTCTCGTTCCCTCCTCCGACGAAGATCCCCACAAGGGAACCCTTTTCAAAATTCCCGGGTGCCACACCCCTCATAAGCCCAGGACCCATGGCAAAAGCTCGGGAAGCCGCTTCTGAGTGCAGCATCGTCCGGGGACGAGTCTCTGAAGCAATCCATACAAGCTTGAAACAACCATCAAGGATGGGCTTTGAGGGGAGGAACTTAACCCCTGGCAGCAGTTGGTCCTGAAGTCTCCATGCCACTCTTCGAGCATCCTGAGCACAAGGCAATGAAGCGTAATTGTTAACAGAGCAATCTCCGAATGTCGCCTTTATCTAGTGCCTTGCAAGGCTCCCTTAAGGCACATGTACATCCACAGCAGAACCACAGCGCACAGGCCCCTGACTGCGTCCTTCATCTTAATTAGTCCGGCTTCTAGAAAGCATGATTTCTTGTATGGGTGCCTTCTCATCGTCATCCCTGCCACGCACTCAGGGCCCAAATTGGAGATTCCGCTCAGAGCTCCAACAAACAACCCCTAGAAATCACTGCGATTTCCAGATCCTCCCCAACTTTGGATCAGCAGATCACGGGTGGGAAGAGAAATTGTCATGAAAGGTGATTTCGAAACTGTTTGGGTGAGGTTCAAGGCCAGATCCTTCCAAGCTTCTTCAGCCAGGAGGAAAAATCTCGCTTGGTTGATGCGCTCGTCTTGCTCAGGAAGAGCTCTACGGCACAGCACGTCGCAAGCACCGCCGCCGGCTCCGTGAGCAAGTGCTTCCTGCGAAACGGGTGCATGTCCATCCCTTTCGGACCGGACAGCTGCGCCCAACGGCCAGAAGAGCGTTAGCCACGACAGGGCCAGGCGAGGTCGAGGCATTGGCAAGGCGTATAAACGACTATGGACAAGGATTCAGAAGCCCCAAAGTGACCAGACCACAACAAGGCTGCGGGGAAGTGGCAGCACAAGAGCTTCAAGCAGATGGACACAGGGTCACGCGGCACAAAGCTTCCACATGAATCCGTGAATCCGTGAATGAGCGGCTTCATCCTAAACCCTAAACAGCCAGTAGGCTGTTGTCAAACCAGCCCCTGCAGTCGTTCTTGAAAAAGGCCCCAAGTGTGTAGTCGCCCAAAACTCTAAATCAGTAGACTGTTCAGATCGCCAGTGGCCCCAACAGCCAATGCAATGGTGATTCCAATGAATTTTCCTAAATACCCCTAAAAATACTTGATACATCCCAGCAAAACCCTCAAAAGAAAATTCAAGCACCTAGACAACCCCACACACGCAGGGGTCGCATGTTTCTGCACTCACAGGGCTGACGGGACATTGAGTCCCTCGACGGTTGCCCCAGGCCAATAAAACCGGCTGCGGGCGCTACCTCAGTCTTCAGTTTGTTTTACAAGCATCAGCGTAGGGTTTAGGATGTAGAGTTTATGCGGTTTAGGGTGTAATGCAGGAGCCTGAATAATCAGAATAGGGTTTTTGGGGTATATTGTAATCCAGTAATATTCAGGAATGCTCGGGAATAGTATCAACCATTTTCAGCCCTGGGCTTTTAAACCGAGGATCTCCCGTCCAAAGCCCGGAACCCCTAAACGTAAACCTGAAATTTTAGGAGTTTATCGGGTGTGACCTAGAGTTTAGGGTTGAATGAAACCCTAAACCCCAAACCATAAATCCTAAACTCCCGAACCCAAAACCGCACCTTCAGGTCTAGATCGTAAACCTCAAGCTTGAAGGTTTGGGCCATTTCCGCGGCCCCAAGGTTGCTTGCTGGCTGGGGTGATTACTCAAGTACCCTTACAAGTAGAGCTGTAATATGGGTCTGTGTAGTATTTGAGAGGGGTTTCTGATACGAGGTCTAGAGTCCTAGTGGGCCTGGCAGTTCACTGGGATGATATCTGCAACTCTCCTGCAAGTAACCAACTTAAGAAGCCCCCATGGACATTCAACTTAATGAGGAGTATTCCATAACTTCCCGCCGCCTATGGAACTTCGGGTGAGCACAGGAGCTGGTCAGTTGACCCCAGAGCCTAAACCCTATAAGCCCCTGAACCCTAAACCCCTGAAGCACTGAAACCCCGAAACTCCATAAACCCCTGAACCCTAAACCCTTGAAACCCCAAAACCCCGAAACTCCATAAACCTCTGAACCCTAAACTGCTCTACTATACCCTGCACCTCGAAAGCTGCCAGGCCAAGAGGAGTCTTGGAGTTTCCCAGGCACCTCCTTCAAGTCGGTGAACGACTAGACTGTTCTAAACACTGAAGTACACCCTAAACCCTAGGGTTTAGGGTTTAGGGGATGCCGAAATGCAGGATTCCTCAACTCTAAAACCCAAGCCCGAAATCCGAACTCCCAAATCCTGAACCGTCAACTCAGAAACCCCAAACTCCACGTCTGACACCTGCAAATCTTGCTGAATCAAGCGGAGATACCAACTTTTGTGGCCAGCAGGCGCGTCACAGCCACATACCTCTGAGATTCCGGTTTAGAGTTTTGGGGCTTTGGGGTTTTGGGGTTTTGGGTTTAGGGGTTAGGGGTTTAGGGTTTTAGGGTTTCGGCTTGGGGAGTTGGGTCTAAAGTCTCCTGTGATGCAGAATGCTTGGAGGTTCACGGGTAGTTATAAGTAGGGTTATAAGTCCCCTAAGTAAGGTTATAGGTATAGTTACCCTATTTATAACCCTACTTCTAACTACCCATGAACCTCCAAATACGCTCACCTAAGACAGCGCCACGCAGGGAAAGGAAGTATTTCAGGGTATTCTGCCGCGCAACCCACCAGGTTGTGGCCATACTACATGCCACGTCATACTAGCTCACCCGCTCTCGCAACATCCAAATTTGCGTTCTCTGAGCTTGTGTCTTGGGCTATCATCTAGACACATTCGCAAAACATACACACACACACATATATATATATACGTAGACTACTTAAGAGTCCATTATGTAGTTACGTAGCTGTTTTCAATGGTTGTGTTGTCTGCACGGAACCAGACAACGGTATTTTATGGTATTGTCCTATCCGTCTGTCTCTGCCCGTGTGTCTCTGTCCGTCTCGGCCTGTCTCTGTCTATCTCTGTCTATCTCTGTCTGTCTCTGTCTGTTTCTGTCTGTCTCGTCTCGCTCTGTCACTGTCTGTTTCCGTCTGTTTGTGTCTGTCTCTGTCGTCTTTGTGTGCCTATATGTTTGCATGCATGCAGGGTATGCCTGTATGCAGGTCCGTAAGCAGGCAGAGACATAGAATAGGCAGATTCGTAGATAGGTAGGGAGGGAGGGAGGGAGGGAGGGAGGCAGGGGAGGGCGGGACGGAGGTGGGTAGGGGGGAGGTGGGTAGGTAGGTCGGTGGGTGGGTAGGGAGGGAGGCGAGCAGGCAGGCAGGCAGGCAGACAGGCAGGTAGATTGGTAGATGTGTAGAGAACCTGCCTCAGTGTCTATGGTAGCTAGCAGGTGCTTCAAACACAAACACTGTCTTGCGCTTGAAGATGCGGGGTTGAGCATTCAGGGACCAGCAGCCAAGTCGAAACCAGGTGCCTTGCCTATTTACACCGTCAAACTGGAGCCTGGACCCAGGAATCCTGATGTAAGGGTTACTATACAGAGAAGCCCAGAAAAGTTGGAACATGGACAAAAGGATGACTCGTGCTGGGATTCCCTATACTCTACCTTAAGGCCATGCGGAGAATCATGTTCCAACTTTCTGGCTTTTTCTTCTGTAGGAGTTTAGCATGGGGGCCTTAAACATTGGAGTAGGGTTGCTACGACAGCTCCTCTTAGTGCTCCATGAAGGCTCCTTATGCTGGGCTCAGGGTTTGATGGCTCCCTAAACCCTAAAAACCCTAAACCCTAAACCCTAAACCGGAGCCGCACGCATTCGACTAGGGGCTGGTTGTATAACGTCATTGTAATACGCAAAACTGCATCTCCAAGACCCTAAACTAGTAACAAGAACCCAAGGTGGGAACCCTGAACCCTAAGCCCTGGAAGGGTTTAGGGTTTCGGGTTTAGGGGTGGGCCCAAACCCCTAGATTTATGGCTGAGGCCCCCCACGCATTCCGCAGGTGCCAATCCTGGCAGAGCAAGCCCCGAAACACCACGCCGGAGCTGAAGGTTGAGACTTTAGGCGCTAGGTTTAAGGTGTTAGGCTCAGAGTTTAGGGCTTAAAGTGATGGAGTTTAGGCGTTTAGGGTTCAGATTTAGGGTTCAGAGTTTAGGGCTTAGAGTGATAGAGTGTGGGGTTTAGGGCGATTGAGTTTAGGTTTACCTGCGTCCGGTGGGTTGACAAAAGTGGCTAGGGGCTGCAAGTTTGAAGGGGTTCGCAACTTGGAGGTTCATGGGTAGTTATAACTAGTAACTAGGGTTATAAGTAGGGTAATTATGCTTCTAACCCATATTAGGGGGCTTATAACCCCACTTATAACTACCCATGAACCTCCAAGAACAGGTTTGGGGGCCCAGGGCGGGGGCTTAGGCTTTCCAGGTCCAACCTAAACCCCCCCGCTGAAACGGGGTGGAAAGTCTCTCCGCGCCGTAAGGCCGCAACCTGTTAGCCTCCGACCCCTAAACCCTAAACCCTAAACCCTGAAACCCTAGACCCCTAAACCCTAAACCCTAAACCCTTAAACCCCCAAACCCTTAAGCCCTAAACCCTGAAAACCCTAAACTGAATCCGACAAAACCCTAGGATTCCAAACTCAAGAAGCTGCTGCAAGTCCTCGCAAGTGGCGTTAAACTTGGACTTGTTGAGTTCCAGCCAGGACCACCTGGAAGCTAGGAGCCCCAAGAGGGGTTGGTTTAGGGTTTAGGGTTTAGGGATATAGGAGCCTGATTAAGTAACCCTGGGTCTTTATTGGGGTTCTTATAATTTGAATCCTAATATCTTGGGTGTTTGAGGGCCCGGGCTTCTTAATCAGGTTCCTACATTAGGGTTCAGGGGCCAGGACCACCTTTTGGGTCGGGACCCGGGTTCCTGTAGGGGCTCCTTTGAAGAGTTAATGCCAGGGTTTAGGATATAACACGGGGTCGCTTACGATGGGAGGTTGGTTTTGGTGCAGAATATACGCTATTTATGCATGGCAAGTGCACTGGGATGCTATTGCTAGTTGACCGCTATATTCGGGCTTCGGTTGCCGCTTTCGGGTGCAGGCGCTTGGCTTCTTTAAGGAATTTGCATCGTGCTTGGTAAGATTTGCTCTGTTCCTATAGGAAGAAGGGTTCTCATGAGCGCCAAAGTCCCTATCGCTGCTGAACTCGATTTCAAGAAGGTTTCAGCGCAGGAAAAGGCAGAATTGGCTTCTCTCGGGCCGTCTCGGATGTACATTCGACTTGGATGATGCAGGGATGAAGGAATCACCTCGCTAATGGTTGGGACACCTGTGTTGCTGTCAGCATTCGCAATTTAACCCTAGGGTCATGGATCCTAGGGCATAGGACTTGGATGTTGCGGGTTCCTGGCCGAAGGATTTGGGGGTTTACGAGTTTGTGCTTCAGCAGTGGTGTGTCACAAAGGAAGTGAAGCAATGATGTCTGCAATCATCATCCCTAAACCCTAAACCCGAAACCCTAAACTCTTTAACAATCCCTTGGGCCCTGCATGCCTGCAGCCCGGGCCACCCAAACCTTAAAAGCTGCGCGCTTTTCCAAGCGGCTTCCGGTTTGAGGTTTAGGGTTCAGGGTTTGGGGTTGCCTTGTAGAGGCCTTTCTTGCGGCCCGAAAAACACCCACCCTTTGGGCCCTGACTCCTGGACTCCTGATAGAACTCTTCACGGCCCAGTTGCTCGATCCAAGATGGAGGCCAAGCATACCTCAAGTAAGCCCTGAAGGTTTCCAGGGTTCCGAGTACATGCTGTTGGAGACAAGCCTTTTGCGTGTA